AGATCTTTCAGAATTTTTCAAGTATTCTTCCAGGATATTTCGGACCTTTTAAAATTATTTTTGGGATACCTTTTTCGATACCTTCAAGATTTTCTCGGGACTATTCAGAAATCATTTGCGGTTTTTTTAGGCGCTCTTTGGGCTTCCTCCTGTTTAACTTTCAGAAGCTTTAAGTTTTTTTTTCAGAATTTCAGTGATTCTAAGTAAATTTTTCGGGAGTTTGTCCGAACACTTCGGGTAGTTCGGAATTACTTGGGACTTATTCGACACTTTTAGATAACCTTCAAGGAACTTCCAAGATTTTCCCGGGACCATTCAGAATTCGTTCGAGACTTTTTTGGAGCCCTTGAGATTCTTCCTGCGTAATTTTTCGAGAGTTTTCGAAAATTTTTTTCAAATTTCGGAAACTTTTAGTATTCTCAGAACTTTTTAGTATTTTATATTTGGATAGCTTTCGTTGGCCTTTTGGGATTTTGGGCACATTTAAGAATTTACCGAACCTTGCGGCAGAGATAGCGTCATAGCGGGAATTTTTAGTTCCAAAAGAAACTATTAACTTTCCTTTTTATGAGTGCCTAAAAATTTAAATCAAAAATTGTATGTTATTTTCTTTTCAAAAACTAATTTTTGGCTATAAAAACCCGAAGTGATAAATTAACTAAAATGTTTGCTATACATGGGCATACTATACATGGACAAGGTCTGCTTAAAGGAGGTTTTTAAATTGGTAAAATGTCCCTTTAAATTTTTTTTAAAGCAAGTTCTAGTTTTAGCATTGCATACTTATTGGTGGTAAACTTTTATAAATACCTCAAAAATTCGTATACTTTTTTAAAAATACTCCTTAAAATCATTTTCAATTCACTCACTGGTTTTTCTTCTTATTTTAGCTAAATATGAAGTAGTAAGATTAAAAATCTGGGTTTAAGTTGCATTTTTTTTTTTTTTGATTATTTTTACCAAATTTTTATGTTTTTTTTTGTTTACTTTCGAATGCCAATTGGTTATACAAAGTGCTAAGAAAATTAAAAGCTACTAAAATGTGGCAATGGTGTTTCGAAATATTGTAAAAATAACCAGCGTTTCTATGTTGAATAGCCTAACAATTTAATTTCCTAAGAGTCGTATTTTGTATAAATTTTGCATTTTTCTCTTTGCTTGCTGGAATCTCAAGCTCACTACAAACCAATGCATTTCTTTTCCAAATTTTTAATATCGGCCAACATTAGACAACGCTAGATATCTCGTAGAAGTTTAGATAAAATGTATAAAACACTTACAACCATAAACCAGCGCTGGTGGAAAGTATTCGAAAGAAGCAATTAGTACGCAGAATAGTAAAAGTGAAAAGTTAATATTTAAAAATATGTACAGTTAATAGAAAATTCGATAATGAAAAGTATGTATTTAAAATACGAGGAAAGTGGAAAGTGGTTATAGTTGCTATGTATATGTATGTAGATTACATTACAAAAGCCAGTCGAAATTCAAGTAAAAGCATTTGCTATACTAGCAGATTTATAGAAATAATTTAAGTATTTAGGTTTGGCATTTTCAATATCGCAAACATTAATTACAATTTGTTACCTCGTTCTATTAAACACCAGAATCAAAATGGTTCACCAATTCACATACAAAAAATGAGAGTTTGAATAGAAACAGGCATATATATTTAATAAATGGAAATAATACAAGAATATGAAATTAAAAATATGTATACGCAAAAATAAAATCAAGTCGGCATGTTACCTGCTCATTTTTAGGCGAACTCAGATTGGAGTAATCCATGACGGCGTTCGCAGGCAACTTCTGAATTTTGTCCCAATCAATAGAAGGACCCTCTGTTTTAGTGGAAAAAGGGGATCATAGTTATTTAAATGTAAGTATGTGTTATAGCAATCGCAACTCCATACCACTTACTTACCTTCTTGCAGAAAGCGTCCAAACAAATCGGCGAATCGCACCATTTCCTTTTGCAACTCGGGGCGCTTTTCCGCTGGCGCAGTGCGCAACAACCGATCCAAATCATTTTCGAGCGATTTGAGTGCATCGCGCTTGGTCACCTCATGGAATTCTTTTGAGTCAGATGGCGCTCTTTGGTGGCCACGTACCTTAAAGAAACCAAAGAAAAAAAAAAATATTCCATTAAATATACAAATAAATGATTGAGTCTGCATTTGTTATCAAATATGTATTTATATGCACGTGCCGTTCAAGGAAATAATGTTGTGCATATTAAAATTAAACAAAGCTAATCAATTAATGAAATGAGCATGCGTTATCATGGCAACACAAAATTTTCAGATATTTGCACTTGCTGAAATTATTGGTGGGTGCGCAAAGATTCTTCGTTTCCCCTGATCATTCTTATCGCAAAATTGGTGATGCATACAACGAAGTGACCTCAGCAAAAATTTCTTAGCTTCGGAATATATCGTCGATGATACTGCAAAACGTTCTAACTATGTCACTATTTACCTCTGTTGCTTAATAGATCTGTTATCTGTATCTGATCGCTTCTGGCAATCGTTCATCTTCATCAGCCAAAGGTAGACAGTTTTGTCATTTGTCGTTTTGCAGTATCACCGACGATATCTATGACCTGGTGGTGTACAGCCCCCAGCCTAGGTGTGCTTGTATTACCCTGTGTTCGGAAATGCATCAAGTGAAAGCATCAGCAGATTTTATATCTAAACTATAATGTCTAGTATGCGCAACCACGTTTAAATGCCGAATTGGAACTTAGTTGCGCAATTATAGTTTAGAAATAAAAAAGCTTCATGCATTTCTGAACACAGCCATAATTACATTTTGAAATTTTCGAAACTTTGAAAGGCGTTTTTGTGTTTGGATCGCAGGTCCTTGAAATTTCGGAGCAGATAGAGCGACTGTGTTTGGCAAATAAGTAATGTAAGGGTGTTACACATACATCCATATGCAGGAGAATTCTATTGACCAATTAATCTCTCTGGGATAACGTGACCGTCCTGAAAGCCACGGAAAGTTCAGTGTTCGTATTTCGACGAAAATGGCGATCGGCAGTGGATACACCCCGCTGAATACGGTTAATAGGATGAACATTTTAGAGAACACTTTCTACAACTTGCTTTACTTCTCAACTCTTCTTCATTTAACTGTGAGTTAATTAGGTTGAAGTGGCTGCCGGTGGGGTCACCAGCACACTTAGGCCCACGATAGGGCACGTTCAGGTACCACTAGGGATCTCGTGTGTGCAGTTGGCAAATTTGAGCAATCGCCGCATCTTTAAGCCCGCTAAATCGCTAGGATCTCCAATGGTTTCAGCATCTATGAGCCTTAGTTTAATCCTTCCCAGTGCAGGAACTTTGCAAAGTATGTGCCTTACTCTTACTGATTCAGGCTCCTAATCGTCTCTGCAGCTGCTGCAAAAGTCGTTAAACGGCACCCCAAGTTATTACGCGTGCCTACCTAGAGTGATTTAATCGGTCGTACGTCCTGTACCGAAACAGACCTATCGTCTGCTCAGCATGAGGTGCTGCCTCGATCTCTTCTCATCCCATTGCGGCCAAATAAGCTTTGCCATTTCGCATGTTTGCAGTTGTCTCCGCCTTTCGCCTGCTTCGAAGAAGAAGAATACCTGAATATTGAACTTGCAGGTAGCGAGCCACATGCCCTGCCTCTTCTATGACGGTTAAAGTGAAAGGGAAGTGCTCTTCCTTGTAAGCTCATCCGTCATTTCATTACCTGGCAGGTGAACTGCTCTGCCATCACGTTAAGGAGATTTGCGGCAACTCACTACAGTTCCCGAGTTGTGTGTGACAGAATTCAGAGCTTTTAAATCCGCTGGGCTGTATGTGAAACTGTAGATATTATTGCATCCTATTACTTCTGTCCATAAGCATACGGCAGCTCCCTGTATGCCCGAGTATGTGATTAGCTTCTTACAGTAATCAAAACCACAATAGAATAAATAAGAATTTAAGTTTCTTCAGCTTACCGTAAGTTGACAATAACTAATGCAAAACCGTGCTACGAAGGATTATAAACACCAGTGCTTCGGAGCAAAGGTTTTCTGTTCATCGCTCCGCTCTTAACTTCTGCAATTTTATTTCGCTCCGAGCTTTTTTTAACCGACTTCAAAAAGAGGAGGAGGTTATCAATTCGTCGGAATATTTTTTTTATGTATGTTACCATACCTTTGAACCACTTGAACCGATTTCGATAATTCTTTTTCTATCGGAAAGGTGGTGTCAAGGTGGATCATGAAGAAATCAAGAAAGACTTAGATAGACAACTACTTACATTGGAGTTATGAGTAGTATGTGTTGTCTCTCAGAATTATAAAGAAAAGTTTCTAGGACCCCTTATTTCAGAATTTTTGAAGCCATATTCTCCAATTTCGTATAGCCTTTTTGTATGAAATATACAGAGCTAGAGGTTTTTTGATTGAACTTCTCTTAAAAGGAGAAAATTAAAATTAACTAATAATGACGCAGTTACAACTAAAGACAAGCACCAACACGTTTCCCTTGCTTTGGAAACACATATTCCCGTATACTTTCGAATGGTATGGCTGTAAGTAGATTTTCTGATAAAGCTTTTAATGGGAAGGTGTTCCTAAAAGAGCTCTGACTGAAAGCATTTGGATGCACATATTCTGAGCATATTAAACATCCAGATCTTATTGTTAAACCCCACAAGAGAGCTACATAGGTTGCGGGAATTAGAAATCTTCACCTACTCTGGCTTCAAAATAAAAGACAAGTTTCGGAATACAATCTTTATCCGAGACTTGGAAGTTAATTACCATCCTACATATCGATGGTCCTCTCCAATAACGGCACCGCTCAAAACTAAAAAAAAAAAATCCAAAGAGAAACCTTTTTTTAGGTTTTATTTGATCTCAGCATTTTTTTTTAACCAAATTAGCCAAGCGTGTAAGTCAAATGCTAAAAGGACTCCTATTAACGATGTTTTAAGGTTTATTATGATATATATGTAATCTCTTCTGTGTGGCGGAATTATGCGTCCAAATATATGTGAAATAGCATTTATGATGAGGAATAACAGTAAAACTCGCTATGCATAAACGAAAATGTCTCTTTGAAATAATTAAAAAACTTACAAAAAGACACGAAAATGACAACGAAGTGCGCTCAAGTGACACCAAGTCAGTCACCAGCAACAACACCCCAATAAACCTTGCAAATGCATGCGTTTTAAGAAAAGAAAATAAATTGGTGACAAAACAGCAAAAGCATTGCAAAAGCGACCACAGCAATCATTTAAACATTTACTGCGTGCAACATTGCGTGGCAAAAGTAATTTTCTTCAATAATTGAAGCCCGCGCATCCAAGTAACCATAAGAAATTCAGTCTTGCATGTGGAGCGATTGCGGTTAGATCGTGAAATTTTTGGATTTCATATACTAGGCTAGCAGCCGGAGGACTGTAGAAGAAAATTTAAAAATGCGCTGTAAAAAAATTGGTTGCTTGCAAATCCTTTGCCTTATACTTCTTGTCCGTGCAAGCGAGCACAACGAACCGACGAAGCAGCTTAACAAACGCGGCGTTGCAGAAAATCTTGGCCAGGGTTTAAAGTTCGCAGGTCAAATGTTTGGTAAATCTACTTGGTAATAAAAGTAAGCAATTTTCTTAAAAAAAAAAAAAAATTCTACACGCAGGCATCAACACAGCCGCCGATGTGGCAAATCTAGTGGCGATGGCATTTGGCAATAAAAAGCCAGACTTGATGTCACTATTTCAACAGAAGCAAACCAACGCTGCTGAGGCCGATAGTGAATCGGATGCATCGCAACAGGACACAGGCTCGCAGGAGCAGCAGCCATCGAATGTAAAGCACAGGCATCGTTACAAACAACAGCAGCAGCAGCAGCAGCAGCAGCAACAACAAGAGACGGATGAGAGTGACGAGCAGTCAAGAGAACCGCTCAGTAATTCAGAATTCAGCACCAGTCGATTCGTTACAGGCGTATTGCGCATGATTGGCTTCGACGCTACCAAATTGGGTGCACTGGCAATAAATGCATTAATTATGATTGCGCAGGCGGTAAGTAGCCATCGCTCCCTTAAATTATACTTCACCATACATACTGTCTTCTATTCGTTCTTAATGAGCTTAGATTGGTAATGCATTTACGGCGCCAACACATACCAGCGCTGGCTACACACCATCCCCGACGACACCGTACGATGACGAGGACGAAGGCGTACGCCCAGAAGCCCAACGGAATGGGGAGCAGGATGGACATCAACCGCGTGCCTTACGTGAGGGTACGCCAATCGATTGGTATCTAGAGAATCCGAATGAGGGTATGCGTCGCACCTTGAACGATGCATTGGATACGCAACTAACAGAGCGCATCACTGAAATGATTGAGAATGTGGAACAGCAAGAGGGTCGACAGGCTGGTTGCATTAAGTTGTTGATGTGTAAGAGTTCGCCAATTATTTGGGGCATGCAACGTTCGGTGAGTGAACGCGTAACGGGCAAGGCGACGACGAACAACACAGTGGAAGATAATGCGGAGGGGAAGAAGAAGAAGACGAAACCGAAAAAACTATTTTCCACTGACGTGTTTTTTGCGCATTTTCCCACACTTGAGGAGTTTCGTGAGCATGGCGCTATCTGTGAGGAACGCTTCGGCAAGCAATGCAATGTCGACGAGAATGATGATACAAAAGCAGCGGAGACAAAAGAAACAAACCCAAAGTAGTAATGAGTGTGTAGTACTCGAAAGTTTAAGAAAAATTAAAGCTTGTCTGTAGAGTAAAAGAGCCGACGCGAAAAAGTGGTATTCTGCAATGTAAATACTAAGAAACTCAACAAAAATAAATAAAATTGCTTATTTATGTGATTTTTCCTCAGAACTTTTGTGTTGCAAATTTGGACGATTTCTGGTTATTTATGAAGACATGCTGTAGATTTTATTAAAAGAAGTGCGAGAGATCCATAAGATTGACAAGCCTTTGGGGTTCGGTGATAACATACAGTATCGGTCATATCTATAGCACGCCATTTCAAAGTGATATTGTGCGCCACTTATGCTTACTTATTTATTTTTAAGAATTTTCAATTAAAATACAGTTCTTTCTCTAACAAACCCCATATAAACCCAAGTTTAACAATTTGTACAAAACTTAAAAAAATGGCAACAAATTTTCACCTAAGTTTCAAACTTTTTTCTCGGAAGTGTTAGAATTTTTTTGAGTACACAGTTTTTTAGCCACTGCAATTTTAGTCTGATAATGTGCAAATTTAAAGTGGCTACGAATTACCGTCAATTTTTTAGAATTTTTTTTTGTCGCATTGGCTTTCATATAATGAATAAACTCAATTTATTTGTATATGGATGAAAACCGCAACGCCTTTGGCGAAAAAATTCTAATAAATCAACGGTAACTTTCAGTCACATGAAACTTGCACATTATCAGACTAAAATTGATTGGGCTATAAAACTGTGTATTCAGAAAAATTCAAACACTTCCGAGAGAAAAGTTTGAAATTTAGGTGAAAATTTGTTGCACTTTTTCGAAGTTTTCTACAAATTGTTAAACTTGAGTTTATCTGGGGATTGTTAGAGAAAGAACTGTATTTTAATTGAAAATTCTCAAAAACAAATAAATAAACATAAGTTGCACACAATATCACTTTGAAATGGCGTGCTATAGATATGACCGATACTGTATGTAGAAGCGGTTTTATTGGCTGGTAATCTACATTATAGAGTATTGCACAGCGCATTGAAGATAGAGGTAACAATATCAATACCGATAACGATAACAAAATCTAGAACGATAACTATATGTATAACGGCAATTACAATATCGATAGCGATATCAATATCGATAACGATAACAATATCGATAACAATAACAATATCGATAACGATAACTAACTTAGACGCTGTTTCACTCAAAGTGTAGAGAAGTCAGCGTGGTAGGCATGCACGCACGGTCAGCGAAATCGAGTTTTTTTTAGCTCCGCCTTAAAAACGTCAACAAAAGATTTGACCAAGGAAAATTGGCCACTTAAGCGTAAAAAAAAACAATGGAACGCCGCACACAAAAAGTATTTAAATAGGGAACTTTTGGAGGGAGATTGTTTTAGGGTAATTTTTAAGGGAAAAGTTTTTAAGTGGTTGGTAACACTGTCTCTAAGTTCTTGAAGCCCTCGGCTGGAAGCATGTACCAGCTGTTAAGCGCAATTTGGTCTGAGAATACACATACGAAGATTGCAATCTCAGCCTCCTATGGCTAACCCCCAAAAACGGAGATCCTTCCATTTTTGCCCCAACTACAGCGGGATAAGTCTTTTTAACTTTGGTTATAAGGAAATACTGTCATCCTTCATGAACCAACTGATTGGAACTTATCCATCGTCCAGATTTTCGCTGCATGTTAAAACCTGTGGAAGGCACTAGATATGCATAACTCCCGTAAAAATAATACGGCTTTGAGGAAACTATATTATGCGAAATCTATGGCGCTGCTGGATAAATATGTATACTAGTAGAGAGCATAAAAGGGCAACGATTTCCTGGTTTGAACATATCGCATATACATACATATAGATGATGCTACCGTAATGGTCTATCGACTCGTTACTCATAGCATAGTGTTTTAGTTTAACTTAAAAACCCACAAGCAGTTGTAGTGATGTAATATAAAGTAGTGTAGTTTTTCTGACAAAAAAAAAACAAAAGAAATTCACACATTCGAATAAAATATATGCAAGAGAGGAATAGTAAGTTAAAAGCAAACTACAAATCATATAATAATGTATGCTTATTCATTTAGACAACGTGCCATTTTTCAAGCCCTAATTGTTTGTCTTATCTGATAAAAGACACACAAGTGCTTAAATCTTCTTATATAAAATGTATACATAATTAAAATTAATTCAATCCTGAATGTTAACATTTACTTTCGACTTCTCATTCTGAAACTAAGGCACGTGAAATTACTCAAATAAAGGGACAATAAAATAAGTATCTATGTATATATTAGGGATGTTGCGAATGTGGAATTTTACACATCCGCGGATGTGAATGGGGATGCGGATGTTTAAAAGCTAACATCCGCGGATGTGGACGCGAATGCGAATATCAAGTATTTTTAATAAATAATTTAGGTGAGTAAATTATGTGGTTTAGGTAAATAGACGGGGGGCAAAATTTAATAATTTTTAACTCAAATTTTTCACATTCCATTTTGTTTTTATTTCGCTGCGTGCAAATTTTCACATTTATCACAAAATTAAAATAAATGTTGTTGTTTTCGACCGCACAGAGGAGTATTTGCATAGAAAAGCCGGTAAAAAATTATTTGGTGTGTTTTTCTGCTAAGTAATACAAGAAAACACGGAACTTAATCATAATAAGAACAAGTAAGAGCAGCGCTGTCTTCGGCTATGCCGAAGGCTTCATATCTTTCATGAACGTCTGCAAATTTTAGTTTGACAGATTACTGCTTTTGAATACATCTGCATACATCGATAGAGGAGCTACATACTTATATAAAAAATCGCATCTAAACAATCAGAGGTATGGAAGATATTCTTTATAAGGCATCAATCTAAGTGATTTTCACTGCTATGTGATCGGTATGTAAACCGGTAACACAATTTATTGGGTTTAGTTTCCTACATAAAGGAGATATATCGCAAATACTGGTATCTGAACAATCAGTGCTATAGGAGATAAAACTTATACAGCATAGATTTTGACAATTTTCTCAGTAGACTTTGTATTATTATTTATAAAATATCTTACGAAATTTATCGGTTTTAGCTGTTCAAATAAAGAAGTTTTACAGTAAAGTCCCATATCTGAACAATCAGATGTATGGAAGATATATATTGTAGTCACCCGATCCTTGTTATTTTCACTGTAAGTATTCTGCTAATAATGAGTGAAAATGGTGCGAAATTTCATGTTCCTAGCTGCATAAATGGAGGAGACATGATAAAAGACCTCATATCTGAACAATCAGTTGTATGGGAGCTATAGGTTATAGTTATCCGATCTTTTTAATTTTCACTGTAAGTTTTCTGTTGATAATTATTGAAAATAGTGCGGAATTTCCTGTTCCCAGCTATATAAATGGAGGAGTTATAACGAAAAATTTTATATCTGAACAATCAGTTGTATGGGAGCTATATGTTATAGTGAACCGATCTTTGTAATTTTCACTGTAAGTATTCTGTTGATAATGGGTGCAAGTGCTGCAAAATTTCATGTTCGTAGCTGCATAAATGGAGAAGTTATAAGGAAAACCTCATATCTGAACAATCAGTTGTATGGGAGCTATATGTTATAGTGGTCCGATTCTTCCGGTTCCGACAAATGATTAATACATTATAAAAATACACCCACCTACCAAATTTGATCCGGATATCTCGAAAACTGAGAGACTAGATTGCATACAAACAGACGGACAGACGGACATGGCTAAATCAACTCAGCTCGACGTTCTGATAAGTATACATTTTAATGGGTCTATCTCTTTTTGTTCTGGTACTTACAAACATCGGACCAAAGTTATAATACCATTTCATGCTCATGAAAGGTATCAAAAGTAAAATTAAAACTAGAGATGCATCTAGTGCATCTATTGAAGAATATTACTCTTTAAAATAAATGCGGAAGCTCCGCGGTTGCGAAAGCGAATATTCGTAACAACCCTAGAAGAAACCTTAGTTCTCACAGCAAGGGCAAACATGTTAAAATTAATGCTTTAAAAGTACCCACATTGCCTACGGCAAAGAGTTTATAGTTTTAGACCTTTGTTTTCTCAGCACTTAATTGATAAAGTAGTTAAAGCTTTTAGTGCTTGAGAGATAAAAAAATATATATATTTACAACCTCTTTTCAGATAAAAAATATTTTAGAAATTCAAAGTGAAAAGGTCAAACTAACAAATATTGCTCAGAGAACTATTGATCTTTAGACTGATAGGCGTAATTTTTTGATTAAATAAGATAAGAACTTCAGAGATAGCGTCACAAATTTGTGAGAAATAATAGGACGTACAACTTATATACTCAGGGGAGGAGCTCAGTTTGGCACATCTTTAGGTTATATGCATAGTGCTATTAATAATAATAATAGATTGGCGCTTACACATATGTTAGTGTTTGGCCGAGCTTCTTCTCCGGTTTGTGGCGTGCGCCTTGATGTTGTCACACAAAGCGGAGAGCCCTACAGTTTTACGCCGACTCCGAACGGCGATTGTATTTTTATGAGAAGCTGTTTTTCATGGCAGAAATACACTCGGAGGTTTGCCATTGCCTGCCGAGGGACGACCGCTGTTAAGAAAAACCTTTTTCTAAATTTTTTCCGATGTTGCTTTGACCAGGGCTTGAACCCAGGTGCTGGTGAGTGAAAGCGCGCACTGCTTACCACTACACCACAGCGGCTATTATTTGTTTTTAACTTTCTTTGATTTATTTAATAAACTTTACTTGTGCAAATAGGATTCTTATTGTAAATATTTTAATGCCAGTGGCTCGTTCATATACATACCAAACGATAAGATACCTCTCAGTTAATGTTTGCTTCAGTATTTACTTATTGCAAATTATTAAATATTTGCCTATTGTTTTATTATTAAATTTATAGACTATTGCACACTTTTTTACTTCGACTTTCACAGAGGTTATTGTGTGCATATATGAATTATATAGGTACTAATAGTATATGTGGCGTTACGTGACATTTGTATGCTAAAATGTAAAAAAAAAATAAATAAAATAAAATAAAAGTCAGAATTTTAAAAGGGTTTTTTCTGTATTTACATAGTAATTAAATGGCTCTTTATTCAATAAAAATATTACAACTGTTGGTAGTAGTGATTTAAAGATATTAGTAAAGATATGCGCCGGCGTGACGTTACAAAGAACAGAAATAGATTTTGACTTGGGTTACAAAATTGCAAAACTCTGCGAATCGGGAGGCAATTTTTTTTATTTTTGTAATATTTTAAATATTTAAAGTTAGTTTTCCACGTTTTTAAATGTAAGAATCTTTTCTGCTTTTTGTTTAATCAGCTGAGCTATCTGACGTGACGTTACCTTACGATACATTACTGAAATATTCATTGAAAAAGTTTTGTTAAAACAAATCAAAGCATAAATACGGCTTTTCAAAATATCTCGACCCTGGCGCCACCTAGCCACATCATTTTTCGCAAAAATGTTTCTGCTTAAATAACCAGTGTATATTATAAAAAGAAGATTGGCCCATAAATAAATTAGATATATGAATTTAATTTTTTTCTCGCGGTAGACTTTCTACTGGAAACACCTAAGAATGATAGAATACAAGATTGCGCCCATTAGAGAAATGCCAAAACGCGAGCAAGAACGGAAGAAGAAATTTTGTATGAAAAAAGTTGACAAGTGTGACGTCATACCACAAACAGTGGTTCTGTGAAGTTCACTGAGAGTGGAATAGCGGTACGGAGATGGGCGCCAGTGTTGCCGTTGTGCGACTAAAGGCGCAATTTGACCCTTTTTAAGCGCCAATGCGCTTTGAACCGACTTTTTGAAACATTTGATTTTTTTTATACTTTTCCAAAATTATGTGCGACTTTTGCCCCTTTTCAGAGATTTTTTTAGGAAATGTTAACAGAACCATGCTAATAAAAGATATTTCCTCTTTAAAGTACGAAAAAATGCATCACTTAAAACTATTTTCTTTTTAAATTCAACGGACTTATCCTTTTACTAGTAAAGAAAAGCAAAAATAATATGTTGACCCTTTTTATCGTCAATGAACCCTTGTTTACGACTTTCTGAAAATTCTCAACGGCAACACTGATGGGCGCCACCTTTACTCTCTACATCGTGCGAAACGCGCATATATGATTTGCTTTGCAACGAACATTTTTTACGTGGCCAGAAATGCCTCCAAAACGTCATTAAAATGGCCATATGCAAACATGCGTTGGGTATAAAAATGGGCTGGACATTAGATTTAAATTGTGAACAAAACATTTTAACTAACTATTGACTTTGGTGAAGGTCTTTAATTTTTATAATAATCAGCGTTCAACCTTATCAGTTTGGAAAGTTTGTTTACAAATTTTTGGCATATTTTATTTAGAATCGCTAGAAACATTTAGATTGATAAACGTCATTTATAAATAGAACAAATAATTTAAAGGCGCATTAAAAACTTAATAAATGTATGTATGCATCTACATACATACAGTTGTCCACAAAATAATAGGAGTGCGATATTTTGACCA